TTGTTTAACAGCTTCGGGTAGCAGGTGTCTTTGTTCCTTAGGGCCCTCTTAACGAAACGTTTATTGTAGTATATTTTTAAGAATTGGTCAACTTTCATTTTTATATCATGCATAAATATTAATCACGGTTTCACTTGGAAAATAGTTTTCTATACCCGAAAGTTAACCAGATTTATTCTATTTCATATATATATTCAGAGATAGTGATTGAATTCAAACGGACCGGTATTTGAAAATGTGTATTGACGTCAGAGTTAGGGTCACCAATGTGGCATCAGCTAAATGTCGGGAAGACATTGTTTAATAACAAATAAAAAAATGTGATCAGTACTTATGCTGCCGTTGGAAATCAGGTTCCAGAATATAGTTATGATAATTCAATAACTCCGTTCTTCTCCGTAATATGATGACAAGTATACAATTTGAAAACATGGACAAGCAGGTGTCAGTAAGATAATCAACAGATTACGTTGGCACGGACGGTTTCTTTCATGTAGACTTGTCTGTTTCTTGTCTCTCCAAACAAATGTTGTTTTGCTGCATGTAATTAGATATAACCTGGTTGGATTGTACTTGTGTAGCCTACGTGGCGACTACGTTGATGTGTGGGTAGTGTAAATTACCTCCATCAATGACACACAATGACCAGCGGATCAGCGACTGGAGGTGATCAAGGTGGCATTCTGACAGGTCCGCGTCCTGTGTTATTGACACATTGTCTCAGTTCACATTGTCCATGCATTGCGATTTTCACGCGCCAGACTCAATCAATATGTCAAAGTGTTGTTTCCCAATATTGCTGTATATGTTATTAAATGTATGGTAATATACTGAATAATTATGTTTCCTTATATTGCGGTGTATGTTATTCAATGTATGGTAATATACTGAATACTTATTGTCTCCTATATTGCTGTGTATGCTATTCAATGTATGGTAATATACTGAATACTTATTGTCTCCTATATTGTGGTGTGTGTTATTCAATGTATGGTAATACATGTATACTGAATACTTATGTTTCCTTATATTGTGGTGTATGTTATTCAATGTATGGTAATATACTGAATACTTATTGTCTCCTATATTGTGGTATATGCTATTCAATGTATGGTAATATACTGAATACTTATTGTCTCCTATATTGTGGTGTGTGTTATTCAATGTATGGTAATATACTGAATACTTATGTTTCCTTATATTGCTGTGTATGTTATTCAATGTATGGTAATATACTGAATACTTATTGTCTCCTATATTGTGGTATATGCTATTCAATGTATGGTAATATACTGAATACTTATTGTCTCCTACATTGTGGTGTGTGTTATTCAATGTATGGTAATATACTGAATACTTATTGTCTCCCTATATTGTGGTGTGTGTTATTCAATTGTATGGTAATATACTGAATAATTTATGTTTCCTTATATTGTGGTGTATGTTATTCAATGTATGGTAATATACTGAATACTTATTGTCTCCTATATTGTGGTATATGTTATTCAATGTATGGTAATATACGGAATATTTATTGTCTCCTATATTGTGGTATATGCTATTCAATGTATGGTAATATACTGAATACTTATGTTTCCTTATATTGCTGTGTATGTTATTCAATGTATGGTAATATACTGAATACTTATTGTCTCCTATATTGTGGTGTGTGTTATTCAATGTATGGTAATATACTGAATACTTTATGTTTCCTTATATTGTGGTGAATGTTATTCAATGTATGGTAATATACTGAATACTTATTGTCTCCTATATTGTGGTGTGTGTTATTCAATGTATGGTAATATACTGAATACTTATTGTCTCCTATATTGTGGTGTGTGTTATTCAATGTATGGTAATATACTGAATACTTATGTTTCCTTATATTGCGGTGTATGTTATTCAATGTATGGTAATATACTGAATACTTATTGTCTCCTATATTGCGGTGTATGTTATTCAATGTATGGTAATATACTGAATACTTATTGTCTCCTATATTGTGGTGTGTGTTATTCAATGTATGGTAATATACTGAATACTTATGTTTCCTTATATTGTGGTGTATGTTATTCAATGTATGGTAATATACTGAATACTTATAGTCTCCTATATTGTGGTATATGTTATTAAATGTATGGTAATATACTGAATATTTATTGTCTCCTATATTGTGGTATATGCTATTCAATGTATGGTAATATACTGAATACTTATGTTTCCTTATATTGCTGTGTATGTGTATTCAATGTATGGTAATATACTGAATACTTATTGTCTCCTATATTGTGGTGTGTGTTATTCAATGTATGGTAATATACTGAATACTTATGTTTCCTTATATTGTGGTGTATGTTATTCAATGTATGGTAATATACTGAATACTTATTGTCTCCTATATTGTGGTGTGTGTTATTCAATGTATGGTAATATACTGAATACTTATTGTCTCCCTATATTGTGGTGTGTGTTATTCAATGTATGGTAATATACTGAATAATTATGTTTCCTTATATTGTGGTGTATGTTATTCAATGTATGGTAATATACTGAATACTTATTGTCTCCTATTTGTGGTATATGTTATTAAATGTATGGTAATATACTGAATATTTATTGTCTCCTATATTGTGGTGTGTGTTATTCAATGTATGGTAATATACTGAATACTTATGTTTCCTTATATTGTGGTGTATGTTATTCAATGTATGGTAATATACTGAATACTTATTGTCTCCTATATTGTGGTGTGTGTTATTCAATGTATGGTAATATACTGAATACTTATGTTTCCTTATATTGTGGTGTATGTTATTCAATGTATGGTAATATACTGAATACTTATTGTCTCCTATATTGTGGTATATGTTATTCAATGTATGGTAATATACGGAATATTTATTGTCTCCTATATTGTGGTATATGCTATTCAATGTATGGTAATATACTGAATACTTATGTTTCCTTATATTGCTGTGTATGTTATTCAATGTATGGTAATATACTGAATACTTATTGTCTCCTATATTGTGGTGTGTGTTATTCAATGTATGGTAATATACTGAATACTTATGTTTCCTTATATTGTGGTGTATGTTATTCAATGTATGGTAATATACTGAATACTTATTGTCTCCTATATTGTGGTGTGTGTTATTCAATGTATGGTAATATACTGAATACTTATTGTCTCCTATATTGTGGTGTGTGTTATTCAATGTATGGTAATATACTGAATACTTATGTTTCCTTATATTGCGGTGTATGTTATTCAATGTATGGTAATATACTGAATACTTATTGTCTCCTATATTGCGGTGTATGTTATTCAATGTATGGTAATATACTGAATACTTTTAGTTTCCTTATATTGTGGTGTATGTTATTCAATGTATGGTAATATACTGAATACTTATTGTCTCCTATATTGTGGTGTGTGTTATTCAATGTATGGTAATATACTGAATACTTATTGTCTCCCTATATTGTGGTGTGTGTTATTCAAAGTATGGTAATATACTGAATACTTATGTTTCCTTATATCGTGGTATATGTTATTCAATGTATGGTAATATACTGAATACCTACGTTTCCCTACATTGTGGTGTGTGTTATAAGAAGTATGGTAATATACTGAATACCTATGTTTCCCTACATTGTGGTGTGTGTTATAAGAAGTATGGTAATATACTGAATAGTTATGTTTCCCTACATTGTGGTGTGTGTTCATCACCGTGCTTTCCTTTACTGCAGCCTATTATATTCAGCGTGAATATACTCTGTTATTATTTCAGAATGCTGTTTGTTTGTGTTTTGTGTGTTTTGCGGTATATAAGTGACGGTAAACATCCGACAACCAAAGCCAATTATAAATTACGTCCCATAAATTAGGACATCTTGAACAATTGATTATGAAGTTAACACTTACAATATATATTCATTGGCTTCGTAGTATGATTATTCGTGGCGGTTTCGTACCATTTCCTGAACAGTATCTATTCGATCCACGCGTAATGCAATATCCCGTAATTTCGTCTTCCTTTTCAATTCTCTCACAGGTAGTCCAAGGTGTGATTAAAGGTCATTGTCGTGTATTGTGACTTCTCCGAGGTCCGTGCGACATGAGCCAATCGATGGCGACATCCCCTACGGTGACTACGTGTGATTGTTAAACCGTCAGTGCAAGTTGAAAAAGTAGATAGAGGGCATGAATCTTTATAGATTTTTCCCCGATCTTGTTTCAAGCGTTCTGTAATTGTGATTGAAAACCTCAAATTGCAGTGTCTAACAGAAACCGTATCTTGATTACGCCAAATAAATCTCTTGACACATTGAACTGACTCAAGTGCTTGATTAAATCGAAGACGGCCGTGAATGAAACTTTGCTTTGGTCAATGCATAAGTCACGTCTCATTGCATCAGTTTAAATCAGCTCATCCCGTTGTAGTTACCCTCGGGAAACGTTCATAGTCTCGCTAAATGTTGCTAACGATAACCTTTGTGTTGCTGGGATGATGTGTCCAGAAAGGAAATAGACACTATTGAGGATAGCGATGTCGTAATTAAGTCAGATATCGATATGAAACTGTCAAGTAGAAGTAAGAGGGTAATAGTCAATGTCAGTTACACAATGGCTACTAGTGATAGTAATGGTAATAGTGATAGTGGTAGTAGCTGTAAAGTGTTAGTAGTTGGGGATGTAGTAGACATGGTGGTCTCGTCTCTTGTGGGTGCATGAACACTCACTGGGTATTTGGATACATTTAATGTGGTTACACGAGTCTGACGAGGTTAGCTTTATATGATTGTAGTAGCACTGGTGACAATAGTGGAATGTGTCTCGGTTGCCAGTACTTCACGCGGCTACACGCAGAAGAAGGGGCATTTTACTACCGCTTCACCTACTTCGGTACACGTCATGCTCCTGGCACTGAGACTGCTGTTACCAACTTCACATGAATCATACATTAATTAGACTGGAATACAGGTTACCCTTCTGTTATATTTACTCTCAAGGTCAAAGAACAAATTACGTTGACTAGATAGGTGTCATGAATTGATGTATCAGTGACCAACTACTGTCATGAGTCTGTTCATTGCACTTCTTCTCTTCCGTCTTTGACAGGTAAGTTTGTTGTCTGGCCGCTACCCGTACACATCCCGGTTTCAGAGCTGGGGACGCCATATTGACACCTGGTAACAAGCCGTAACACCTGGTCCACGTCAAGCACCGCCAGCACCAGCAGGAGGACGGCCAACACACCCACGCTGATGCTCCCCACAGCCATCACTGACTTCCGCTGGTCAGGCGCAGACTTCAACCGGCGTCTGGTGGCCGAAAGGTTAGCTCTGTCCACAGTGAGGTGCTGCTTGATAGACTGGAGGCGCTCTTCTGTATTGTTAGACGGCCGACAATGGCATGTACACAACCTGGTGCCTGGAAAATGTCACCACAAAGTTGTAATGGGCAGTTGAGTCAGTAAGTCAGCTCTATGTAAGAGGAAAGCCAGATGACGATTACCACTTTGGTAACACGAAGCATAGTACTAAGAAACAAATAATCACATTAAGGTCATTTTTAGATTTGTATTGACCTTACCATGGCCAAGGCACGCAACGCTGCACAGTGAATTCCCATGCGTATCCAAGTCCATATTATATGTTCGTTAATAACCAACTTTCTTATAACAGGTGTATATTTATAATACATTCAACAGCAAGGATTACCTGGTGGATTGTTTGTGACAACAGTGACCGCCACAGCGGAAGCAGTCGTTGCTGCAAGGCGGTGCGTGATGACGTCCTGTCGAGAGGGAGCTGAAGTGATCAGTGCGGAGTCACCCAGCGACAATGGCGGTAATTTGGTGGTTCCTTGTGTCACGCGGGACACTGACGCAGGTTCTGATGGGGAAGGTGTGCCAGTTACGTGCTGAGCTGTGGAGGCGGACGATAGTGATTGATATCTGCTGCTTGTCATCAGAGCGTGTGCTGCGTTCGAGTACAGCGAATGTCCAAAGTTGTCACTTTGAAACACAGGGGTGAAATTCGGGGAAATGTCTGAAGATTCTGATTCATGCGACATGAAATTACTATTATCTACAATAGGGACAGTGGTCAATCCTTGGACGGTGGTTTCGGCCACAGAGACTGCAGTGGTAATGTCGACTCTCGCCCCTACCGTCGACACTGCGCTGAGGTCGGGGACAGGCGTGACCAAAATACTAACATGGGCAGCGGCGGATGCTGATTGTGTGACGTCGCTGATGTCGTCACTGCTGGAGATACTGGTGTAAGTTGTAGACGCCAACACGACGTGAGTAGTGCAAGGGTTCTCAGGCAGCAAGCGGGAATCCAGCCGAGCAGCAGACGATGAGGAAATGTTCACTGATGAAAGAAAGATTGCACATGTGATGTCATCACGCCTACACAACAAAACTTCACAGCACTCGACAAAAGGGTTATTGTAACAACGGGTACCACGGACGGGTACGGTCAAGTAAAGAGAAGGGGTGGGGGTGGGGGCTAGCTGATTCAAGAAGGCACCCATGTTTCCAGACCAGTTCCCTGATATGGTGGTAAGGAGCCGGCAGAGCGAGATATCGCTTTGCATTCCTAATGGGCTTATAGCTTTTTCAATAACATTGAACCCGAACTACGTACTGAAGCTTTCCATCTTATGTATGGAGTTTATCAAATCCTTGCAAGGAACTATTATTTTTGCCACCGGGGTTGCCTTTGTCCAAAAGGATGACCCAATGACAGCAGCATCTTCAAGTGCTAACTCAGTACCTTTTCCCCTCTGCTTTACTGTACAGGTTTACTTATATGATTCCTGTCAAGTATTTCATTAAGGCGTCATGGCAAGTTATGGCTTAGTTCCTATATGATTCATGTCAAGTGTTTCATTAAGGCGTCATGACAAGTCATGGCTTAGTTCCTATATGATTCCTGTCAAGTATTTCATTAAGGCGTCATGGCAAGTTATGGCTTAGTTCCTATATGATTCATGTCAAGTGTTTCATTAAGGCGTCATGACAAGTCATGGCTTAGTTTCCATCAACAACAACCATGATGTTTGCAAAATGAAACCCAATCTTGTTGCAGCCTATATGATTCTGGGTTACCTTGGCGGTAAGTATTTGCACATGCATACTATTTCCCATTTCCAGGATCTGCTGAGACCAATGGCAGCATGTACATACATACTATTTCCCATTTCCAGGATCTGCCGAGACCAACGGCAGCATGTACATACATACTATTTCCCGTTTCCAAGTTCTGCCGAGACCAATGGCAGCATGTACATACATACTATTTCCCGTTTCCAGGATCTGCTGAGACCAATGTCAGCATGTACATACATACTATTTCCCGTTGCTAGGATCTGCTGAGACCAATGGCAGCATGTAGATACATACTATTTCCCGTTTCCAGGATCTGCTGAGATCAATGGCAGCATGTACATACATACTATTTCCCATTTCCACGATCTGCCGAGACCAATGGCAGCATGTACATGCATACTATTTCCCGTTTCCAGGATCTGCCGAGACCAATGGCAGCATGTACATACATACTATTTCCCGTTTCCAGGATCTGCTGAGACCAATGGCAGCATGTACATACAAACTATTTCCCATTTCCAGGATCTGCTGAGACTAATGGCAGCATGTACATACATACTATTTCCCGTTTCCAGGATCTGCTGAGACCAATGGCAGCATGTACATACATACTATTTCCCGTTTCCAGGATCTGCTGAGACCAATGGCAGCATGTACATACATACTATTTCCCATTTCCAGGATCTGCTGAGACCAATGGCAGCATGTACATACATACTATTTCCCGTTTCCAGGATCTGCCGAGACCAATGGCAGCATGTACATACATACTATTTCCCATTTCCAGGATCTGCTGAGACTAATGGCAGCATGTACATACATATTATTTCCCATTTCCACGATCTGCAGACAATGGCAGCATATACATACATACTATTTCCCATTTCCAGGATCTGCCGAGACCAATGGCAGCATGTACATACATACTATTTCCCGTTTCCAGGATCTGCCGAGACCAATGGCAGCATGTACATACATACTATTTCCCGTTTCCAGGTTCTGCCGAGACCAATAGCAGCATGTACATACATACTATTTCCCGTTTCCAGGATCTGCCGAGACCAATGGCAGCATGTACATACATACTCTTTCCCGTTTCCAGGTTCTGCCGAGACCAATAGCAGCATGTACATACATACTATTTCCCGTTTCCAGGATCTGCTGAGACCATTGGCAGCATGTACATACATACTATTTCCCGTTTCCAGGTTCTGCCGAGACCAATGGTAGCTTTGATCCTTTGATGACAGTTTATACAACTGATAATGTTTAGGCTTTAGTGGACAGGACTGTCTTCGAATGGACAGTAATTCCTGTTTCTGGTGGGTGAACTATCGCTGACAACTGAGCATGAATCTTGTATTATCACCTGTCTGTTACAATGTCCTATGGCGATATCTACGTGGTCAAGAGGTGGGCTCCTACTTACATCTGAAGCATCGTTTGACGTTCACCTCCATCTCAGGGTTGGCCGTGAGGGATGGCGACAGGCCAGGATCGTACAAGTCGGACTTCATGTCAATGAAGCAGTCCAGTGTCACCTTGTTGAAGCTGTAGGCAGCACACAAGAAGTCAAAGTTCACTGTTTGCAGTTCAAACGTCATACAGTAGTTACCGCACGCGGCACTGCTCACCTTCTTGCCGGTGTGACCCTTGCCGGACGCCAGGTCATGGTCACTGGTTTTATCATACCAACATTGATCTGCAACAACAATTATATACCTATGAAGATCACACACACGTAGGACACACCGACATAGGGAAGGATGAACAATAGCATCCCCTTAAAGAACACACAGTACACACCGACATAGAGCAGGGAGAACAATAGCATCCTCTTGAAGAACACACAGGACACACCGACATAGAGCTGGGAGAACAATAGCATCCCCTTGAAGGACACACCGACATAATAGATCCCCTTGAAGGACACACCGGGGAAAACAATAGCATCCCCCTGAAGAACACACAGTACACACCGACACAGAGCAGGGAGAACATTAGCATCCCCTTGAAGAACGCACAGGACACACCGACATAGACCAGGGAGAACAATAGCATCCTCTCAAAGAACACACAGGGCACACTGATATACAGCAGGGAGAACAATAGCATCCCAGTGAACAACACACAGCACAAACCGACAAAGAGCAGGGAGAACAATAGCATCCCCTTGAAGGACACACCGACATATAGCAGGGAGAACAATAGCATCCTCTCAAAGAACACACAGTACACACCGACACAGAGCAGGGAGAACAATAGCATCCCAGTGAAGAACACACAGTACACACCGACAAAGAGCAGGGAGAACAATAGCATCCCCTTGAAGAAACACACAGTACACGCCGACATAGACCAGGGACAACAATAGCATCCTCTTGAAGAACACACAGTACACACCAACATAGAGCAGGAAGAACAATAGCATCCCCTTGAAGAACACACAGTACACACCGACATAGAACAGGAAGAACAATAGCATCCCCTTGAAGAAACACACTGGACACAGTACACGCCGACATAGACCAGGGACAACAATAGCATCCTCTTGAAGAACACACAGTACACACCGACATAGAGCAGGAAGAACAATAGCATCCCCTTGAAGAACACACAGTACACACCGACATAGAGCAGGAAGAACAATAGCATCCCAGTGAAGAACACACAGCACACACAGACAAAGAGCAGGGAGAACAATAGCATCCTCTTGAAGAACACACAGTACACACTGATATATAGCAGGGAGAACAATAGCATCCCAGTGAAGAACACACAGCACACACCGACAAAGAGCAGGGAGAACAATAGCATCCTCTTGAAGAACACACAGTACACACTGATATATAGCAGGGAGAACAATAGCATCCCCTTGAAGAACACACAGTACACACCGACATAGACCAGGGACAACAATAGCATCCCCTTGAAGAACACACAGTACACACCGACATTGAGCAGGGAGAACAATAGCATCCCCTTGAAGAACACACAGGACACACCGACATAGAGCAGAGGGAAGAATAGCATCCCCTTGAAGAACACACAGTACACACCGACAAAGAGCAGGGAGAACAATAGCATCCTCTTGAAGAACACACAGTACACACCGACAAAGAGCAGGAGAACAATAGCATCCCCTTGAAGAACACACAGGACACACCGACATAGAGCAGAGGGAAGAATAGCATCCCTTGAAGAACACACAGTACACACCGACAAAGAGCAGGGAGAACAATAGCATCCCCTTGAAGAACACACAGGACACACCGACATAGAGCAGAGGGAAGAATAGCATCCCCTTGAAGAACACACAGTACACACCGACAAAGAGCAGGGAGAACAATAGCATCCTCTTGAAGAACACACAGTACACGCCGACATAGAGCAGAGGGAAGAATACCATCCCCTTGAAGAACACACAGTACACACCGACATAGAGCAGGGAGAACAATAGCATCCTCTTGAAGAACACACAGTACACACCGACATAGACCAGGGACAACAATAGCATCCTCTTGAAGAACACACAGTACACGACGACATAGAGCAGAGGAAAGAATAGCATCCCCTTGAAGAACACACAGTACACGCCGACATAGAGCAGAGGAAAGAATAGCATCCCCTTGAAGAACACACAGTACACACCGACATAGAGCAGGGAGAACAATAGCATCCCCTTGAAGAACACACAGTACACGCCGACATAGACCAGGGAGAACAATAGCATCCTCTCAAAGAACACACAGCACACATCGACAAAGAGCAGGGACAACAATAGCATCCCCTTGAAGAACACACAGTACACACCGACATAGAGCAGGGAGAACAATAGCATCCCCTTGAAGAACACACAGGACACACTGACATAGAGCAGGAAGAACAATAGCATCCTCTTGAAGAAACACACAGTACACACCGACATAGACCAGGGACAACAATAGCATCCTCTTGAAGAACACACAGTACACACCGACATAGAGCAGGGAGAACAATAGCATCCCAATGAAGAACACACAGGACACACCGACACAGAGCAGGGAGAACAATAGCATCCGCTTGAAGAACACACAGTACACACTGATATACAGCAGGGAGAACAATAGCATCCCCTTGAAGAACACACAGGACACACTGATATACAGCAGGGAGAACAATAGCATCCCAATGAAGAACACACAGGACACACCGACAAAGAGCAGGGAGAACAACAGCATCCCCTTGAAGAACACACAGCACACATCGACAAAGAGCAGAGACAACAACAGCATCCTCTTGAAGAACACACAGTACACACCGACATAGACCAGGGACAACAATAGCATCCTCTTGAAGAACACACAGTACACACCGACATAGAGCAGGGAGAACAATAGCATCCCAATGAAGAACACACAGGACACACCGACACAGAGCAGGGAGAACAATAGCATCCGCTTGAAGAACACACAGTACACACTGATATACAGCAGGGAGAACAATAGCATCCCCTTGAAGAACACACAGGACACACTGATATACAGCAGGGAGAACAATAGCATCCCCTTAAAGAACACACAGGACACACTGATATACAGCAGGGAGAACAATAGCATCCCCTTGAAGAACACACAGTACACACTGATATATAGCAGGGAGAACAATAGCATCCCCTTGAAGAACACACAGGACACACTGATATATAGCAGGGAGAACAATAGCATCCCTTGAAGAACACACAGGACACACCGACACAGAGCAGGGAGAACAATAGCATCCCCTTAAAGAACACACAGAACACTGATATACAGCAGGGAGAACAATAGCATCCCCTTAAAGAACACACAGGACACACTGATATACAGCAGGGAGAACAATAGCATCCCTCTTAAGAACACACAGGACACACTGATATAGAGCAGGGAGAACAATAGCATCCCCTTGAAGAACACACAGGACACACTGATATACAGCAGGGAGAACAATAGCATCCCCTTGAAGAACACACAGAGCACACACTGATATACAGCAGGGAGAACAATAGCATCCCCTTAAAGAACACACAGGACACACTGATATACAGCAGGGAGAACAATAGCATCCCCTTGAAGAACACACAGGACACACCGACATAGAGCAGGGAGAACAATAGCATCCCCTTGAAGAACACACAGAACACACCGACATAGAGCAGGAGAACAATAGCATCCCCTTGAAGAACACACAGGACACACCGACATAGACCAGGGAGAACAATAGCATCCCCTTGAAAGAACACACAGGACACACTGATATACAGCAGGGAGAACAATAGCATCCCCTTGAAGAACACACAGGACACACCGACATAGAGCAGGAGAACAATAGCATCCCCTTGAAGAACACACAGTACACACTGATATATAGCAGGGAGAACAATAGCATCCCCTTGAAGAACACACAGGACACACCGACATAGAGCAGGGAGAACAATAGCATCCCCTTAAAGAACACACAGGACACACTGATATACAGCAGGGAGAACAATAGCATCCCCTTGAAGAACACACAGTACACACTGATATATAGCAGGGAGAACAATAGCATCCCCTTGAAGAACACACAGTACACACTGATATATAGCAGGGAGAACAATAGCATCCCAATGAAGAACACACAGGACACACCGACACAGAGCAGGGAGAACAATAGCATCCCCTTAAAGAACACACAGAACACTGATATACAGCAGGGAGAACAATAGCATCCCCTTGAAAGAACACACAGAACACACTGATATACAGCAGGAGAACAATAGCATCCCCTTGAAGAACACACAGGACACACTGATATACAGCAGGTAGAACAATAGCATCCCTCTTAAGAACACACAGGACACACTGATATATAGCAGGGAGAACAATAGCATCCCAATGAAGAACACACAGGACACACCGACACAGAGCAGGGAGAACAATAGCATCCCCTTAAAGAACACACAGAACACTGATATACAGCAGGGAGAACAATAGCATCCCCTTAAAGAACACACAGAACACACTGATATACAGCAGGGAGAACAATAGCATCCCCTTAAAGAACACACAGGACACACCGACATAGAGCAGGGAGAAGAATAGCATTTCCTTGAAGAACACACAGAACACATCGACATAGAGCAGGACGAACAATAGCATCCCCTTGAAGATCACACAGGACACACCGACATAGACCAGGGAGAACAATAGCATCCCCTTAAAGAACACACAGGACACACTGATGCACAGCAGGAGAACAATAGCATCCAGGGAAGAACACACAGCCGACATAGAGCAGGACGAACAATAGCATCACTTGAAGAACACACAGACACTGATATAGAGCAGGGAGAACAATAGCATCCCTTAAAGAAGAACACACAGTACACACTGATATATAGCAGGAGAACAATAGCATCCCCTTGAAGAACACACAGTACACACTGATATACAGCAGGAGAACAATAGCATCCCTTGAAGAACACACAGGACACACTGATATACAGCAGGGAGAACAATAGCATCCCCTTGAAGAACACACAGTACACACTGATATATAGCAGGGAGAACAATAGCATCCCCTTGAAGAACACACAGGACACACCGACATAGAGCAGGGAGAACAATAGCATCCCCTTAAAGAACACACAGGACACACTGATATACAGCAGGGAGAACAATAGCATCCCCTTGAAGAACACAC